GAACATGTAAGCATGAATCTGCTGGACAAAGGGACGGAGTGGCAATCCTTTGAGATCTCACCATGCCCCTCAGGACCATTCACAGTTTAAAAGGTATGAACTTTTTTATTTCTGGAATTTTCCATTCAATATTTTCGGACTGCAGTTGAATATGGGTAACTGAAATAGCCAAAAGCAAAACCGCAGAGAAGAGGGGATACTATATATGGGAATTCTGTATTTTTCCACTCAGTTTTTCTATAAACTTAAACTACACTAAAAATATAATCTATTAGATTTTTTATGTGAAGACATACATTGGAATTCTTAGGGTGATTGCACTATGCTCTAAAAAGGGAACCTTTAGGCCACTTGCTTCTTCCTCTTCATCGGCTCCTGCATTTCCCTGCCTCGCTGCCCTGAAGAACCTCTCCCAGGAAGCAAGGGTGCCATGAACGTAGCTGCCGATTTTGTTCCTGTGACTCCTTTCCTGGCCCTCACAGCACCAGGTGTCTGTGGGCCCAGCTAGAGGTCAAGCCCACTTTGCAAGCTTTAAGCCCCTACCTCGCTAGGACTTCTAGTGAGAATGTATTGTTCCCTTTAGGTGACTTTAGTAAAAACCAACACTCTCTGCCACATTCCTGATGTCCAGTGAAGCATGGGCTGTGTTTCTTTTCCATCGAGATGACTGGCCCTGGGAGGAGGAACCACAGGTGTTTAGTAACAAGGTCTTCCCACACCCATGGGGTCCCTGGCGCTGCTGAGAGGTGCCTGGAGGGTGCCCCTTGGCCAGCACTTCGGTGGGCAGAGTCTTTGGCTGACACTGACCCTGCCTGGGCAATGGGTGTCTACTGGTCATCTTCTAAGTGCCAAGCCCAGTAGCAGGCAGGGGATGAACACAGTGAGGCACCAGATTTACCCCCAAGAGCAGTGGTTCTCAACCTTCTGGCCCTTTAAGTACAGTTCCTCATGTTGTGACCCAACCATAAAATTATTTTCGTTGCTACTTCATAACTGTAATGTTGCTACTGTTATGAATCGTAATGTAAATATCTGATATGCAGGATGGTCTTAGGCGACCCCTGTGAAAGGGTCGTTCGACCCCCAAAGGGGTTTCGACCCACAGGTTGAGAACCGCTGCCCAAGAGACTGGGCAGAAAGGGTGAGTCCAGTAGCAAGGTAAGTGCTATGCAGAGAAAAGGGTTCTGTAAGAAGGGGTATTTAGGGCCAGCCTCCAGGATCAGTAAACGCTAGCCACCCTGAGGAGGGGAGGAGAGAAGAGCTCTCCCTGGCTCCATTGGATGCCCAGAGTGGGCCCCGGAGACACTCTCCCTGCAGTCCTCAAAACACCAGGTTGCCGTCTCCTGTTCCACCTGCTCCCCCAGCTCTGCTCAGCTCAAACTCCCAGAAACACCTGGGGTGCAAGGGACCTGGCTTCCCCCTCTCGTCATACTTACCTTGCTCTAGGGATCTTTTGTGGATTATTTAAGAAATCATTGCAAAATTTGTTAGGACAGTTGCCTTACAGAGTAAGCCCCTGAATCACCATAGTATCTAACATGTCATGTAGCATAAATACCTCCATGCAAAACTGAAGCTTGGGAACTGAAACCCTGAGAGGCTGTCTGGTTAGGGTTTTTCTTGCACCTCAGAAGTAGTTCTCAGAAGCAAAGTAAATGGGGCATAGAAGTCTGTTTTGAGATAAGCCCACAGATTACCACGTAAGTACATGATGTGACCTTTCTCAGGATGCTGCCCACACTCCCCCATTCCCGGTTCACCTGGGCAAACAGCATAGGTGTGGGGCATTTTGTGGCATGTGACACTCCCTGGCTCCCCAGAAGAGCGACCCTAGCTAAGCTACCAGAACTACTCCATCAGCAGTAAGACACAGAGGTGCTGACCAGAATTCCCAGTGCAGATTCCCAATCACCTAGCAACGATTATGAACAATGTCCACTGAAGAAAGCACCTTTGTTTGGCCTTGATTTGCCTCTTAGGAATTATCTGTTGGTTGATGTTTTTTTCATTAGTTTCCATTTATCTTAAAAGAAGATGAGTGCAGTGCAGCCCTAGTTTTGCAGGCAGTGGCTTTGCCTTGTGGCCTTCGTGGAAGCAAAACTGAGAAAAAAATGCTGGCCTTGACAGTATGGGTGAGTTGCATGTTGATGACATCTTCAAGCAAAAGTGTCTAAAGAGGGCAGATCTAAATGCTTTCTCCAGACAACACCACCAATAAAGAAACTTATAATATTAATATGTAAATGTTACAATTCCAAACTTTTAAATTAGTTTTATAATTGTGATAAAGGGAAGTTCTATTCTGCTGTGTGTGTGTGTGTGTGTGTGTGTGTGTGTGTGTGTGTATACGCCGCAATCTTGACACCACTAATATAATATTTTGGCTATAAACTCCACGGGCTCTTGATGCTGAAAGTATTTTGTCTGTATGGGTTCTAGTAACATTGAGGAAGAAATCCTGCAGTGCACGGAGAAATAGGGCCTGGGTGGCTGTGCTGGGCAGGCTCGTGTCTCACCCTCCCAGTGACTCTACAGCAGGGGTCCTCAAACTTTTTAAACAGGGGGCCAGTTCACTGTCCCTCAGACCGTTGGAGGGCCAGAATATAGTTTAAAAAAATAACTATGAACAAATTCCTATGCACACTGCACATATCTTATTTTGAAGTAAAAAAACAAAACGGGAACAAATACAATATTTGTATTTGCGTGTGGCCCACGGGCCGTAGTTTGAGGACCCCTGCTCTAGAGCCATAGAGTGCCCCTGCCAGTGCATTTCTCAAGTTACAGCTGTAAAGTAACTGTAGTGTAAATGTCACCAATGCCACCACTGCATGAACATCACCATCCAAAGTAAGCAGGGACTTTCCACAGAACAGAGTGAGTGGAATACAATAATATGCAGTTGTTCCAGTTGAATCATTTTTTTAATATATATTTTTATTGATTTCGGAGAGGAAGGGAGAGGGAGAGAGAGCTAGAAACATCAATGATGAGAGAGAATCATTGATTGGCTGCCTCCTGCTTGCCCCCTACTGGGGTTTGAGCCCGCAACCCAGGCATATGCCCTGACTGGGAATTGAACCATGACCTCCTAATTCAGAGGTCAACACTCAACCACTCTGCCATGCCAACCGGGCCCAGTTGAATCTTAAATGCACACCAGAGAGAGATTTAGACCAGATTTGCAAACAGGTGTGTGTGTGCAACCAAGATTGGTCCTCTAGGGTTAGCTGACTGCTGTTCTTCAACCTCCATGACCGCCGTGAGTCCTTCTCAGAGGGTGACTGTAAACATATTTGAGAAGGAAGTGGGGACAGGGGATGGCTAAACCATAGGGAATGTGACTTGGTTTGCTAATTCTGAGGACAAGGCTCAGGGTTTACACTTGTCTTCCTGCCTCCTCTGGAACTCAGAGTATGGGGTGGGCACACTGCGTGTGAGCTCTCAGCGCTTGTTTTAGTTTGGCTTTGCAAAACCTGGCCATTCTTCTACTTGCTTGCCCAGCTGTGCAGCTCCTCATTCTGTGAACAGTTTAGGTAATACCTCTGGAAAAACATCCCTTCCCTAAGACACCCTGTGCTCTAGTTCATCTGTGTGTCCCAAAACCTTCATTCAGGGTGGCAATGTCACTATGTGTCTATGTCCTGTCTGTCCCACTGCACCTGAGTCCCGGACAGCAGAGGTAGTATCCCGTGTCTCTGTGTCCCCAGCACCAACGAGGAGGCTGCTACATTCTAGGCCAGTGGTTCTCAACCTTGGCTGCACATTAGAATCACCTGGGAATCTTTTTAAAATCCTGATTTCTGGGCCTCATCCTCCAAAAATTCTGTTTCTTTGTTATGGGGTGGGGCCACAACGTCAGTAACAAAGAAACAGAATTTTGGGCAAACCTTTTGAGTTCGGCATGTCAGCATTTTGAAAAACCCTAACTTAACTCTGGTGCCGTATCACATATAGAAATTTTTTGATATTTGCAACCATAGTAAAACAAAGACTTATATTTTTGATATTTATTTTATGTATTTAAATGCCATTTAACAAAGAAAAATCGACCAAAAAAATGAGTTCGCATGTCACCTCTGACACGCGTGTCATAGGTTCGCCATCACTGCTCTAGGTGTATAACAAACACGCTTCTTTAGGAAGTATTTGAGATGAACAAGAGCCTGGAGATCATTAGCAGGACACGGACACTGACAGCCAGCTCGTGGCGCCCACACTGGCTCTTGTCCAGGCCCCACAGTTAAGCTTGTGATTCCTAGACCACAGGAAGTAGACCCCACGCTCAATGGGGGCTGCATTGTCTTACCCTGAGGCTAATCATTCCTAAACATGCTTCCTGCTTTCTCATAAGTGCCCTTTTGCCTTTCATAATTATACTAGTTTATTTTAAATGCTTCCTGTGCCTTTATTCTTTTGATATTGGTTGTCTCAATTAGAAAAAGAGGCTGCCTTCTTAGATTAAGTTATATGTCAGTCTCAGATACCACTTAAGTTATGTAACAGAGATCATTTGAAATGCAATACTAATGAAAATGTTGCCTATTACACCGCCCACAGTTTATACCACAGGCTGGTTGTTCCAGGTTAATTTATCCACAAAATACTTAATTCATTCAAGACAAGTGCACTAATTTTTATTTTGATGTTTCTTGATTTCAATTAAATGTCTTTTATTTCAGTATATGCTCTGCCCAAAATGGATGTGTTATGCTTAAAGAATATTTAATGGCATAAGAAAAAGCTGGCCGTACATTGTTTATTAAATAATAAAGTGTGTTAGAATCTCTATTACATTATGACCCCAAATACAACAAGAAAATAATTAGTAATTATCTCAGGTTGGTAGGCTTATGAAGGATTTAAATTTTCTTCATGTTTCTCTGGCTTGTGCAGTATTCTTTGATGAAGAGAAATTTCTTTGTATCAAGGGAGAAACTATTTTAAAAGTCTTTGACATTTTGCAAAGCCGAAGCTCTTTTTCCTTAAAATACCCTTACTTCACAGAGACACCAGGAGATTTTTCCGGGATTGCAGGATATCACTTCCACACTAGGTTCATGGCAGGTGGGAGGTCATCAGGGTTAGAAGGCTGAAAAGCTGGATTGGGGAAAGATGAGAGCGTTCTGTAGCTAGATGTCATCAATGAGCAGGAAGACCCATACAGATGTTCAACCTTTTGGCCATGAATGGAAACTCACACAGTCAGGTCAATCTTGGTCAGCCCTCCAGGAAGAGTCACCGGTCTTCTCATAGACAATCAACCACCTTCCTCATATGGGTACACACAGTTACCTCCTTAGTTATCTTCTCACGTAGCTTTAAAACATCCAGGGTTGTCCAGGAAGGATCACACCAGACGAGGCCATAATAGAATGTCTGGTACAATCGGATGACTCGAGACTGAAGTCAGCCAGGCTGCCATAGCCCATCTGCAGCTCAATCTGCTTTTAGAGAAAGATTTCTGAGTATGTACTCTATAAACCAGACATTTCACATATGGCATTCTGTTTAATGTCTATAGAATAGATGGTGTCTCCATTATACAGATGAGGAACTGAGACCCAGGGAGGTAATATCTCTAGAGCTAGAAAGAGGCAGAGTTATAATTCACGCCTGGTCCCAGATTCCATCCAAATTCCATGTTTTCCCACTAACTGCATAACATTGTTCCCCATCTACAAAAACATGAGGTGGCTGCACAAGCCAATGTCTCTGAGCCTCCAGTTCTGTTCATGCAACAAGAAAACTGAGGGAAGTGGATTTTGAGGTCCTCTTCCACCCTCACATTTCATTCTTAAACAATTTTGCTCATATACTAGCGTGACGGCTTAATACAATTTTTAATGAAATGCTACATTCTTTCTGGCATATGAAATGCTGCATTCTTTCTTTCATTAACGTCCCACAGTCCCTTGAGCAAAGCATAGCAAAGAAATGTTATGGGTTCAGATGATAGAAGGATCCAGAAAGGCCATAATTAGAACTGCTTTTCCACAGGCTTGTGCCTTCCCCCACTGAACAGGAAAAAAAATGCTAGTGAAATTGAAGCATTGCCTGTAGTGTTTGAAAGGGAGTTTCTGAAGTAGTACATCTACTTATGCATTTATATCACTGTATTCACCTCCTAATTTTTACCTGATATGTACAGCTTGGGATACACAAATTAGCTTTTCATCTTGTTGAAATTCTAATCCCTTCAAAGTCTTTGAAATAAGACTTCAAAATGGCAAATGGAATCATGTCCACCTTCACTTTGATACTAAACTACCACTGAAATAAAAACATCCATCTCACAAGCACGTAGTAACAAGTATTTTCAGTCCATGGTAAAGGGTCTGTGTTTGTGAGATGGCTAGAAACCACGCAAGTTAACAAACACAGCACTTCAGAAAATGCACCAAGTAAGCTCTTGTCTGGACTTTTGTTGTTTATGTTATGCATTCTTTGGATTAAACATTTTCCACTTATAATAAGTATGAATACCTGGAAAGAAGAATATCTTTGAGTGAAAAATTGTTAAAATTACATGTGTTTTTTTAGTCTATTGATAGAAATAATAACTTCAGTCTATAATTTTATATGGTCATACAAATTTTTTAATTAATTCTTGAGAATTGTTGAGAAATAGATGCTGTTAGGGGGTTTTGGATAAAGACTGTGAGAAAGAGTATTTAGATTTCATTTATGTTCAAAGTATGCAGAAAGTACCTGGTTGGCTCAAGTTTCTGATTGCAACTGATGTTCAGTAGTTTTGGTGGGGGGACCCAGATAGCCTCGGTGGCTGACCTCGGGAGAGAATGGGGAGAGGCAGTCTGAAGTTTATTTGGAATCTAGCTCTGGATTCAAGAAAGGCTGTGCTAGTCAGAGGATGACTGGGGTGCCGGGGCCACCATGTGCTTCTTTCTTGCTGAGCTTTGCTGATAACATGGCTTTTTCTCTCTCTTTCTTAAAACATCATTCATCCAATGGGTCTTTCCAAATGCACCTTCTCACATGAAGAAATAACTCTCACTTTCATTTTCTAATTGTGGCTGTTCTTCTTCCTTGTGTTTGTAAGAAACTTGAGCTAGTAAATGCTTATCTCCACCTGCCACAGGTCAGAGTGTTGTCTCTGTGTTGGTCTGCACAGGGGACATGTGCAAGCTGGACAAACTCAACTGACAGGATGAGGTTATCAGCCAGAAAGCCCTCATTATGTGGTTAAGGCAGCCTTCATGACTGTGAGGAATTCCGAGAAGCGGGTTGATGAGAAGGCCACACAGCAGAACAGGGTATGGAAGAGACAGAAGAGAGGAGTGTGCTCCCTGATAACGTAAAGGGCATGGTGACCCACATGCTCACCCTCCACCAAACTACAATTTTATCTCTTCTTTCTCCAAATTTGGTCATGAGTCTTCCCTGATTGGATGGTTAATCTTTGATGGACACTATGTAACTCTTTGAGTAATGTTGTCATTACTATATCTGAAATAACACTATGTAATATCAAAGATACTCTTTTTATTTTGGGAGAGGAAAAGAATAAATATAATTTTTTTAAAAAATCTTTTAATTGCCGAAACCGGTTTGGCTCAGTGGATAGAGCGTCGGCCTGCGGACTGAAGGGTCCCAGGTTCGATTCCGGTCGAGGGCATGTACCTGGGTTGCGGGCACATCCCCAGTAGGAGATGTGCAGGAGGCAGCTGATCGATGTTTCTCTCTCATCGATGTTTCTAACTCTCTATCTCTCTCCCTTCCTCTCTGTAAAAAATCAATAAAATATATTTAAAAAAAAAATCTTTTAATTGCCTCAAAATGGATCAGAGTGCAAGGCCCATCACCCATAGAACAATGTTGTCATTGGCTTGGAAAGTGGATGGAAAGAATTTTGGTAAAAGGTCTGAAGTCTTGCAATGCTAATGAAGTAGGCCTGCTTGCAAAATTCTACTCTTACAGGTGCTGATTAATCTCCAGGCAGCCATAAAAGGAAAAATCCTGAGTTTAAAAAGTTAATCATTTTAGAGCATCCAAAAGATGTCGCCCTTTTACCCATTTCTTACTAAGGATCAGCAAAAGCACAGATGGGCAATTTGTTTTTCTGACTGGTTGTTCCATAATTTTTACTTTTAGTGAAAGAGCCTGTCAGAACCAAGGCTTATCCAGTAAAAATAAAGTTAACCTATGGACATTTCCTTAGGATGGGTCCACTGCTGATATTCCTACCAATTACTATTTCCTCATTGATTTAGTTAATGAGTGAGGATGTTATTTAGAATCTAAAATATCACAGAAGCATTTTCATAAGAAATGATCCATTATCCATGGAGTGTGCCATATTTTTAATTTCATTATAACATTGGAGACATAATCTATAATAATAAAAGCATAATATGCTAATTACTAGACCGGATGTCCTTCTGGAAGTCCTTCCAGGACGAAGCCAGGGCTGCAGCCGCCGTGGCTGTGAGTGAGGGATCCAGGCAGCCGTGGCTGCGAAGGCCTACTCTTGCAAGAATTTTGTGCATCGGGCCTCTAGTTTTTAATATTACATATGCCTGGAATTCTGTTAAAAATATAGCATCCAGAATAATTTGGATTAAACTGCCCTTTGGTGTCTTAACCTCAGGAATTATGGTGCACTTTTGATAACCATGAGGAAGAAGTGTGGGTTTTGGAGAAAATTGCCCAAAGAACCTGGTTTTAAAAAAATATTCTTTAAATGGTTAGGCATTTACTTGTTTCCATTGCATCAACTAACAAGAAAATCAAACTGCCATAGGAGACACAGTTGACTCATTTGAGATTTTTTTTTAAAGAAAGAAAGAAAACATGATGATGTGAGCAACACTGGTGCGTCAAAAGGCCAGATGGCAACAGAGTACAGCTCTGTTCTGGAAAATGAGAGGATCAATTTAAAGAGTGTTACGTCAACTGCTGATTTGTTAATTAATTTTACAGAAAGACAGTTATGTTTCCTTACCTTGATCAACAGTGTCATTTCCTCATTCTACTGTGTGCTGACGTAGGGGGTTTTTCAAAAAGCAAACCTTGGCTCATTCAAGCTATTCATATTTTGTCTCTGTTGATTTGAACAACAGATACATGTTTATCAGTGGATCTCCACCTCCTGTGAGTGTGAACTGCTTTCCTCCCTCCAGGGTATGCTGTTCATAGTAAAACCTGTAATTGGAAAGAGGAAGTGGGAGGGGGCTGCTCTTACTGGCTGAAATTCTATTCTCACCAGAAGTCAAGGGCAACACATGGAAGAGATGGAGAATGATGAGCACCTAGATTATCTACTGGGAACATATTTAACAGCTTAGAAATCTCAATATTCTAGTTGTAAACACTACCTTATGGCAAACTAGATTCACATGATCATAATGAGATCATGGGATTTGGTTGTCAAAATCTATCTTATCAGCAGTTCCTGTCCTCAAGCAAAATTTTAGGATAGTCTTTAATATTAGGAAATAAACAGCAAAGATAAATGAGAAGCTTCTCTAGTGAAAACAGGGGTTGGGTAGCAAGCCCAGAAAGGCTCGTTCTAGATGGTTCTAGATGGAACTAAAATGGTTCTAGATCAAAGCAGAAACCCTGAAGATCAAGGAAATTGCTAAAGTGCAATTTTGCTGTTTGGTGTTCCAGCTCATTGGAAGCAAAAGTACTATGAAAGCCTAATTCCTTTGAAAAACACACGGGGGTGATGTTCTTTCTAGTACACGTGTCAACTGAAAATATTCAATTAAGTATGGGATATATAATTTAAGAAGCTGAGAGATTTACATTTTAGTGTAGAAAACCGTCCATTAAGTGGCCAAATTAATACCTCAGACATTAAAATATTCACCTTTACTTATCTAGACAAGTTGTTCTTAAGAGTGGAAAATGTCATTTACATAACACTGGATAACAGGTTGTTTGGTACATATGTCAGTGACAACCCAAATACTTTGCTCTTGGTTTTTATATCCGTATTCACACCTTTCAGGGTCTGGGGACCCCTGACAACAATATGAATCATTTCTGTGTCCTCCTCACCATCACCATCACCAGCTCTCTTGGCCATACCTTGGAATCTTCTCACAATCAAGAGACTGTGCCCCATGTCAACATGTTTCCCCCTTGTTTCTCCCAGGGTAACGCTATTTGTGTGGTCCAAAAAAAGGCTCTTCCTTTCACAGTAGTGTAAGGGAAGTGCATGGGACATGGTTAGTCATGGAACTGGGTTGTCAGAAGCAGGATAATGCCACATCAGGATAAAGTACCATTGTATCCATGGAGGGGAGCAGTTGTAGAGACCTCTTCGTATGGTTTTGCAACTTCTTGTTACTCTATAATAATGTCACAAAAAAAGTAATTTTTAAAAAGTCCTGAAATCTCTCTCCTAGTTGGGACTTGCCCATTCTCCCCATCTTTCTTCAGGTACCCCAGTGGGCTGGCAGCAGATGACCAAGCTCTGGGACAATTACACTCAGGAGCAGCACTAGCATCTGGAGAGGCTCGGGGACTCCCACACCTTCTCCCCCAACCTCCTCTGAGTCACCAGATCCAGGCTGTCCATGCACATCAACCAAATGCCAGGATGCCCATAATTTGTAATACGTCTTTTGCTGTGTGTAGTCAGTATCCATGTCCAAGTCTGTGTGTGACTGATCTCTTGATCTCTCAAAATGTGTGGGGGTTTTTTATTTTGCAAACATAAGTTATCATAGAGGAGAAACTCGTGGTTTTTTCAACTTTAAACACATGGCTTTCTAGGTACTTTTCAGTGTTGCACACAAATCCCCGTTATCATAACAGAGGTAATCAGAGGGTGCTCCATGGGCTCACTGTGGGGTTATGGCCAGGAGTCTGGAACTCTTCCTGCATCGTCTGATTGGAGGTGCAGGAAATCTAGGTACTTTTTCCCACGAACATTAAAGTTTTGTGTAAAATGGGTAATTTAAGACAACGGGAAAATCCAGTAAGAAATTTTCAAGTATTTTCCCAAATGTGAGTCCTTTGAAAGCCATTTGTTTTCAGGGGCCACACTTACAAGACCTATGCTTGTGGCACAAGCTGTATCCATGAAGCGTTTGTCTCTGAGACATGCAAGTTGTAAATGTAAAACAATGAAGCAGGATTAAAATGTCTTCAATAGTGAAATGAAGATGTTCCATTTCTGACATGTTGGCATTGTTCCTGTTGCTTTGTACTATATCATAATTCTAATGATTGTCTAATGATGAAAAAGGTTCATTTGTAAGAAAAATTTTTGGAAAGCAGTATTTTATAATTCTCAAAACCCGACTGCAAATGAAGTGCATTTAAAAATTTCTCAGGGATTTTGCCGGTTTGGCTCAGTGGATAGAGTGTCGGCCTGGGGACTGAAGGGTTCCAGGGTCAATTCTGGTCAAGGGCATAATCAAGGGCACATACCTTGGTTGCAGGCTCAATCTCTGGTCCCAGGGCCTCATGTGAGAGGCAACCAATCGATGTGTCTCTCTCACATTGCTGTTCTCTCTTTCTGTCTCTCTCCCTTCCTTCCAGTCTCTCTAAAAATCAATGGAAAAATACCTTCAGGTGAGGATTAACAAAATAAAATAACATTTTCTCAGGGATTTGAGTCAATTATTACAGAATTGAAAATAAAGGGAAATAACTAATCCTGGTCTTTAAAGACCATTTGAAATTTAATTGACCATTAGGCCACCAACTATCTTGGCACATGACCATTTAATAATGAGAAACTCAACCTTACATTAGGAACGAGAGCAGCATAATTCATCAAAAGCTACACACCATTTGCATTACTTTCCGTGGAGATTTCTTGGGGAAAGTGCAGAACGCACAGTTTTAATTAATTTATGAGCTTTTTAGTAGTGTTATAGCAATTGAGTTCTGGCAATAATGAAAACGTTTGTTGACAATTATGCTTAAATTCTATTTGACTTGGACCATGATTGTACCTCATCTCCTGCCTCAGAAGCTCAGGCTGCAGTTAATGAAGTCATGGGGGACGGGGGACGGGAGATGGGGGAACGGGGAAGTTTTGAAAAAATTGAGTAATGCTGATAAACATAAACATCTTAAATATTTAAACCAGGATAAAACAATAATACCAAACAAAATCTATTTGTAAAATTGCATTGTTATTCTGACAAATCTCATTTGATCCATATGGATTGGATTATTAAAATATCAATTTAATAATTTTCAGAGTTGAAAAAGCCTATGATATGCTTATAACAATGAAATATGACCCACACCATTTTTTTCAAGTTTTTATCTGAAAACAGACATAACCCTGATCACTGGTGAGCCTCAGTGGTAAAGACACTGAATTGATCCTCCCTTCTCATTTGGCAAAAGAGGGATTCTACCTCCTGGATGCTGACTTTTCCTCTCACAAACTCTGTGGCCTTGAATTTAGTATTCATTTTCTCTGGACTGCAGATTCCAACCTGTGATTCTAAAAATATTTCTGTCTCTGTCCCTATCCCTATCCCTACCCCTATCCCTATTCATACCCCTATCCCTATCCCTATCCCTATCCCTATCCCTATCCCTATCCCTATCCCTATCCCTATCCCTATCCCTATCCTTATCTCTACCTCTACTTCTATCTAACTCTATCTCTATCTCTGTCTCTATCAACATCATCAGAATGTCTACTAAGTGTATGTGTGATCTAGTAATTACAATAACATCTCAAAATTGTAAAATTATTAGCACAGATGGAGAAATGGAATTTATTCATTCTATAAAATCATTAGAGCTGTGGCTACTGAGTACTTATGTGGTAAGCGTAGTGTTAATTACACACTTGACATTATGAGTGCACATTATTAGTATACTTACTTTAAAGATGAAGGAACTGAGGCCTTAAGAGATTAATTAACTTGCTCAAGGTCACAGAGCTAGAAAAATGTGGACATGTTGAACCCTTGCAAATTACTGCAGACTCCTAAACTCCCACATTCCCAGACCACATGTTGGGTACTGCCTGAAAAGACTATTCTAAGCTTCATCATTCCATTATAATGCCTCACTTTAAATAAATTCTTCCTCACCAATCACAACATTAGATGAAAAGACCATACCCTGTTTTATATATTCCACAAGCATTTATTTACCCAGTTAGGTACAATGGTAGTTTTTGGATATATGCATGATGTAAGTAAATAATTTATTAACTGTGTAGGTGAACCTGTCATTGGTAACAATGTGTTTCTACTTTGATTCCATATGACTTATTGAAAGCCCCAGATAAGAAATACAGGAGGAAATATATTTTTGGAAAAGCTGGCTTGAGATGAATAAACAGAATGATGACTTGAAACTTCTTTTCAGAGACACTACTGTATTATTTATCAAATGGTGTAAATACCTAAATTTAAGGAGCTTTTCAAGGTAAACAACAGCTGAGTCTTTCCACATGCCCTAACATTCAAGGAGACATTTTTTTTTGCCTAGATTTTAAGATATGGCCATTGTCTAGCTTCATTTCTGTGAGTATACTCACGGTTATACAATTTAGTATCTTTGAAATAATGTTAAGTGTCTTTGCTAGGAGAGCCTTATTTTCCACTGTAAACATTGGACAGGTATAAGACATTGCTTTTAAACTTATACCAAATGGCAACCAACTTATTTCTCATAATACTTGTGTCATAAATATATCCCTATTACCTCCATTCAAATCAGATTCCTTAAACAGCTTTGAATTTGATTAATCCCACCTGTGATTCAGGAAGACTGTTTTAACTATAGGACTCAAAGGTTGGGTGGGGTAAGGGAGGGTTGAGCGGTGGGGGGTGGGGACAGCCCCAAAACTACAGATAAGTAAATCAAGTACACATATTTGATCTCATTATTAATTTAGGTTGACATTTTGTCTAATCAAGCAATACCTTCTTAATAGTGCACTCTATACATATGCATTGATATGGTTTTCTAGACTGAAAATTATATTCATACACACATTATTATCATTATGAATAATATTAAATCATCCCAAATTGACATATTTTAGTATAGTGATATAAATCCTGCTATGAAAGTTATTTGCATATAGAATGTTATTTAAAATAAATGATATTCCTAATTATTTTTAACCATATCCTTTATTTATTAAATTGAATATTGACTTCAAATAGTTCACAAGAGACAGAATTTCCCTACAGAAATCTACTTATTCTGGAAACAGTTTTATGTGATATACTTTTGCAGATGACAAGGTTTCTCCTTTTGCCAAGTTCTATTTGTTATTTGAAATTTAACCAACAAGTAGTTACTGACACTTCATATAATATAATGAGCTACAGAAATTTTCTTAACAATGTTTCTAATAAATAGGAATATTGTCTCAATGATACTTAGATTGA